GAGTCCGACCATGCCTCTAACACCCCCTTCTCATTCCTTACTCGTTTGTAACCCCACAGCAAACTTCGAGCACCTGGGCTCAGGAATAAAGTCATCGACTGACCTCAACTAGATGTAGGGCACGTTGCCTGAACCAGTATAAATCCTGTGTTATTGAGTGCTCGGCCACATCCGATCACAACGCACGGCAAAACTACAAATATTTACTTGTCGGCCAAATTTCGCACCGACATAATTACTAGGTTTTCTCTCAATCATATCTAGATGAATCAATGACATAGACATGTTTATGCTTGCTGAGATTGTATAGTGGGCTGGGAGTTAAATTAGAAAGTAAGTTCAGTAGATAAGAAGATGCAAAATGCAGTCTTGGTGAAACAGCTGGTGCGGCAGTGCTGCTCCCAGGCGAGGCAATGCCGCATGTCTGGGGGCAGTACCACATCAGCTGCTTCCCTCACTTGCACGTTGACTCTTCTTGAGTACTTAACTTGCTTTATAAGGTAACTTCTACTCTCCATTTGTATAGTTTCTCATATTGGTCCGTGTTTTTGCATAGATGGCCTCTAGAGGTGAAGATGACCGGAGGGGGAAGAGGAAGACGACACAGCCTCATGACAAGCAGATGTCTTGTCATGGTTGTGGGCGAACCACAGGGGCAGCAGCAATGCAGTTGGAAGAGAGGAGGCTAGTGATAGGGGGAGGAGAGATCAGTTGATCCAAGATGAGGAGAACTTGGAGAGGGCTGGCCGCACCATTCCTTTAGGTGCTTGCCCTGATACTCCACCTCACCTTGAGGAGTTTGATAGGAGTTACATCAGAGAGTATTCTGAGGAGGTGATTATGAGGTGTCCCATTGACACACGTGCTCAATTATGCAGGAAAGCTAAAGATGGTGGAAGAAGCACGTGAGAACAATGCTTATGAGCAGCCAAAGGATTTGAGGATAGACTACATGTTTTGGAATGAGTTTCATTTCAACTTCTATGCCTCTATGATCTTCAACTCCAAGAAATCCATGATTGTCAAGATACAGTATGTTGACTAGAAAGAGACGAAGAGAAGAATGAGCCAGAATTCAACAAAGTGATCAAGGCTTGTGAGCTTTTTAGCCTCACTGATATCATGAGTTTTCGGTACAATTGGAATGAGGAAGTGCTAGCCTAGTTTCATGCTACCTTTTTCTATGATATCTACACATGATGAGATTCACTGGACGACTGAGGGATGACACTATAGGGTTGACTTTGAGACTTTTAGCCGATCCTTGGTTTTGGAGAGGAGTGGGGCTTCACTTATATTCATGATAAGGCTAGAGCTGAGATCCGTGACATTGCATATATGTGGATTGATAGGAGAAATGCAGATGGTAAGGTCAGTGGTTTCAAGAGCTACTACTATATTCTAAACAATCTGATTAGGCACATAATAAATCCCAAGGATGGAGCAGCCTCAGATCTTAATGGCTATGTGAGGAATGTGTTTGCTAGGTTTGCTCCTGGAGGTGATAGGTTCAATGTCCCTCGCTTCATGTGGCATGAGCTGAGGAATGCCATGGAGGATGGGAGAAAGGGGATGCCCTATGCCCCCTATCTTATGTTCATGATTGAGAGGGTCACCGGTTACAGATTTGATAAATATGGTCTCCACACCATCTATAAGATTGAGAAGACCCAGGCCTCAGGTGCTAGCAGGGCAGTGAGACGCTCTCCATCAGTTGAGGACGTGCCTGAGTCCTCCCGCTCTAGGCCTCGCAAGGACAGGAAGATGGAGAAGTTTGGGAGATGGATCAAGGCTATTTTCACCACTTGCACCTATGCAGCTGAGGACCGCATATGAGGATCGGTTGGAGAACCATGAGTCCAACTGAGAGGCTAGAGAGTGTGCAGGGCTATCACCTCTTTCTCCAGTTCAGTCACCGCCGAGGTTTGACAACCTCCCTAGCCTCTCCGACACAGATTCAGAAGATGAGGAGGAGGAGGAGGAGGAGCAGGAGCAGCCAGAGCTTGACCCTCACACGAGGTTGAGCTCCACCTTGCAGTCCATGAGGAGGAGCACTAGGCGTGAGCGCCACACTTCAACCACCCATCGCCAAGGGAGGGCGGTGGTGTCCTCTTCTTCCTCCTCCAATGACGATGATGATGGTGGTGAGGAGGATGTTGCAGGTGCTAGTGGAGCTGCGAGTGGCGATGATGTCGATTAGGACACCATCTAAGAAGACGAGGAGTGAGTTTGTTGGTCTTTCTTCTTTTCTTTTCTTTTTGGTGCTTTATGCCAAAGGGGAGAAAATAACTTTTTCGACGACATGGAGAGGTTGCTGCAACTGGAGTTTCATGTTCTTATTCGTTTAGATTAGACTTCGTTAGGTTGAGAGTTTGAGAGACAATTCAAAAACTCTATTTATGTAATAATGCTATCTAAGTACTTTATATGTGGGGGATATGGATATGAATTAATATCTACTGTAGCTTGTGATAATATTGTGCTAGAATGTGCATCTTTATATATGTTACATGTTGTGTGGTACCTGTTCATATTCACACATCTGGCTCAAAAAATCTCAGTATTTATTTCATATATTTTGTTGTTACATCAATCACCAAAAGGGGGGATTAAAAGTGCAATCAAGCCCTAATTGTGGGTTTTGGTGATAATGACTACGCAAGAGAACTAATGAGATTTATCGAGATGACAAGTATGGAATTTATATTCAGGATGTTACACTAAACGGAGGAGCCCCCAATTACAAATGTGATGGCTTCAAACTCAAAGGAGGTTTAAACTCTTTTATACATAGAAAAACCCATATTACAAAGAAAACTAGTTGTGTATGAATCTGTCATTCATCATCACATCTACATACTCTTACACTTGTTGTGCAGCACCCACAGGAGCATGGATGTAGGGGGAGCCTTGTCACTTTCACTAAAATGTGAATCTTGGCTTCTTATGCCAATTTGAGAATTCAATTCTCTATTCACACATTTAGGGGGAGGCTCTACACCCATGGCTCAAAAAATCTCAACCCGGGAGATTTGTATTTTATTTCATATATTTTGTAAGCACTAATTGGGTTGTCATCAATCACCAAAAGGGGAGATTAAAAGTGCAATCAAGCCCTAATTGTGGGTTTTTCTGATAATGACTACTACAATTAGAGAACTAATAAGATTTATCGAGATGACAAGTAGGGAAACTTTGGTATTTATATTTATCTTTATGTTATGTTACATGGAATCGGAGAGCCCTCAATTACAAATGTGATGGCTTCAAACTCAAAGGAGGTTTAAACTCTTTTATATTTTTAATTTGAGTATAGAAAAAATGTCCCATACTATAAAGAGGAACACAATGCTTTAAATTTTGCAACTAACATTGTGCTACCAAGTGCTCAATCTTACACATACATCCAGTTACCAAGTCGGTCGTCCTTGTTTTGGCGTCCAGCTTTAAGCCTCGAAGATAGCTTTGATAGTTCTATTTTTTTCCCGGCGCCTTGCTCATCTCGGTGAGCCAAGCGCCGTCATTGTTGTTGTGCTCCACCGTCACCGATAAGCTAGTTCTAGCTTCGCTTACTCCTTGCGCTGGCGTCCACCGACACTTCTTACCCTTGTTGTCTTGCTCGATGCTATGGTACTTAATCCATAGTTGGTTGCTCATTTGGACCACTGCGATCATTTGGTACACCATCGCCGACGACGTTTTGTTCGCTCCATGCTCGCGCTGATCGTCGAACCACCTTCCCTAGGCTTTGACTCAATCCATTCGGGTAAGCAAAGAGAGGCACTACATGACTTAAGTGACCATTGGGGCTGGGGGTATTTATACCCTTCCCCTTCCTCCCCAACGTCTCTCTTCTTCTCCCCACTCATTCAGGTCGCCCAAGAATAGAAGAGTGCCCTTCTCTCTCCTCCATTTGTGACCTTGAGCTCCTAAGTATTATCCCTTGATTTCCCATCAATCCTTGAGAGAAAAAGGTTCCAAACTCAATTAGAAAACATATCCTTTGATTCCCTAACTCAAAAGGGCACTTGGTTCACGTTTTTTGTTTGGTTTTGATTGAGTTGTGTTTATTACTCTTGGAGCTTGGCTCCTTGAATTTTGCATCCATATCGAGCATCATGTTTCGCCGCATCATGTGGAGCTTGAGGAGGTTGCCAACTTGTGTGGCAGGCCCGGGAGATTTGTAACCATCTCTTAAAGCTAGTAAACTAACCCATCATATCAAGAGTTGGGTCTCTTGACTTGAGAACGAGAAAGAGTTGCAAAGCCCTAAGCCTTAGTGGCTAACCTCAACAACGTGAACGTAGACAAGCCTTAGTGGCGAGCCGAACCACGGGATAAATCATGTGTCACTTTGTGCTTGATTTACATTATTTGTATTTCATATCGTTGTTGAGGTGATTTCTAGGGTTTATGGTTCATCTACTTGTGTGTGATGTTTCTACCACTTCTAGCTCTTTGTATATGATCTTATGATCTGTGACTCTTATTGCTAAAGCCATACCTTGAATCTCATGAGCTGCATCCTGAATTCTATCCGCTTTGTTTAGGTTAAGCTAAGGAATTCATGAGCTTTTGGATCGATCTAAGTTTTGTTCGAAGGCGATGATGATAATAAGTAGATTTCATTTGTAATATGTTATAATACCACTGATTTTGAACTCAACTTAGTTGTATGGTTTGAAACAAATGGTTTGTAAACTATGTTATTGTAAGACTTCCGGTGTTTTTACTCGATGTATCTATTTGAATAAACTGCCCGATAGTGCTCGCTTGTCGAGTGGTAATGATTCGGGTTTCCCGAGTTGATTTTGATAAAAGTTTGAGTGTTTATTTTAACAGGCTTATTCACCCCCTCTAGGCTAACCAGAGATTATCGAGAGATATGGAGAAATAGGGTAGGTGGGGAGGTCATCGTAGTCATTTCTCTATATGTGGCTTCTTTTTATCCTAAGTTAGCTACAGCTGCCTTGGTATTAATCTAGTTATTAACTGAAACCTTAGTTAAAAATTAGTAACTCAGGAGAAAAGAAAAATCTGAAGTGAAACAGCCACTACTAACCTTTATGCCTACTGCTACTTGTACAATAGTAAATCCAGAATGACCATAAAAATATGAAGTCGAATGTCAGTAACAAGGGAGAGGGCACGAGAGAAATAAAAAAAAAAACAAGTCAACATACGTCTGTGTGGGCCTGGCAGCCCTGAACGTGGGGTGCAATAGCCGGCCGAGCTCCTCGTCGTCCGCGTCCAGCGCGCCGCTGGTCTCGTTTCCTCCGCGCTGCACGGCGGTGGTGTTGAAAGACTCGTGCTCGAACCCGTACAGCCTCAGTATCTGATCATCGGCGAAGTTGAATGCGCGCTCCATGCCGCGCCGGCACCGGTCCGCCGGGTAGCTGTCCGCGTACCGGCGGCACGGCTTGCACCCGACGAAGTGCGTGACGAACGGCCACCGGTCGTCGCCGAGGCCCCCGGCGGGCCGCCCCTTCCGCCGCAGCTCATCGTACCTGTCCACTATCCCTTCCCAGAAGCCGTTGAGCTCGTAGGTGCTCTCGATGAACGTCTTGTCCCCCCACCTGCTACGCTGCGTGAGGAGCAGGTAAACAAGCGCCGACTGATCGTCCGCCTCGAACGGCGGGCGCCCGGAGAGCTCCCGGGCGAAGAGCTCGCCGTAGCTGTCGCGGACGGGGCCACGTGACCCCATGGGCGCCCACGCGCCGAGGAGGTCGAGCGACCACTGGCAGTTGCGGATGAGGAAGCTGCCGGTGTTGATGCCGACCCAGCTCCTCTCCTCGAATACCTTGGCGGGCCAGCCGTGGAGGACCAGGTTGTGGCGCTCGTACCTCTCCCACGGCGGCTCGAACGCCATGTCCGTGAACACGGCGTCGGAGTCCACACCAAGTTTTAGCTGGAGATAGCTGTTAGGAAGACAAGCCGCTAGGATAATTCACTTCTGCCGCTATGAGTTAGCTGCCGCTAATAGCTGTATTTAGCCCGCTATAGCCGCTAATAAGCCTCCTTTTGTGGCCGCTAAGTGCTTTGCTGGGCAAAAGTCAAGCGGACTCATCCAATTGTCAGCGGATGACCCGTAGTTCTGAGCGCTTTGAGCTTGGCACATACCGTGCTGATTGATCATCCAATTGTCAACGGATGACCCGTAGTTCTGAGTGCTTTGAGCTTGGCACATACCGTGCTGATTGATCTGATAATATTTCGTCAATGCATTTGTGCTTGAACTGATGATGAGCATTGTATATGTTATGCCAAACGTCTTGTGATGGTCCTGGAGCTCTGTTCTTGTGAACTGATGAGCGACGATTGATGAATATGTGAAATGATCAATGATTTTTGTCTCTTTTTTTCAAAACCGCTAAACAAATTAGCTAGAGCTATAGCCCGCTATAGCTTCTCGTAGCTTTTGCATACTTCAATCGCTAAGAGGTTTAGCCGGAGATTTAAAACCTTGGTCCACCCACCAGAGGAGCTCCACCTCCGGGTGCACCAGCATCAGCGCCCGCAGCAGCGGCAGCTTCGCCCAGAACCCGGACATCTCGGCGTCTAGGAATGCCGCGTTGTAGAACACATCGAGGCTGTGCACGCGGCAGTAGTCCGCCTTGTTCTTGAACGCCCACAGCAGCAGGTGGTCGCCGGGCGCCGGGTCACCACCACCACACGGCGCCCGATCCCTCACCTCCGGTGCCACCACGCACCGCCTTGCCGTAGTCAGGCCGGCTCGCTGGTCCGTCTGCACCTGGCGGCGCCTCGGTCCTCGTCGTCGTGCGCCATGAAATACGCGGACTGGCGGGACGCGGCGGGTTCGTTGAACACGACGTAGTTCAGGGATGGCTCGGTCGGGCCGAAGAGTGAGGGGCGGGTCCGCCGACCGCCGCGAGGGAGGAAGGCAACGGCGATGCGGGTTGCGCGTTGCGGTAGCGCGGCGATAGTGCCGCCGGATGCCGACCATCTTGCTGCTGTACTGCTCCCTTATTGTGGCTACACGGCATGAGAGTTGCACCCTCGCAACTTGTAATAAGTAATTGTCAAAAATGATTCTTTGTCTTGGTTCTCGTGTCTGCTTAGTGCTTGTGAACTTATCATTTTTTCAAAAAAAAACTCAGGCATTTATTCAAGGTTGAAGACGATGTTATAAATTATTCATCAGCTTTTTGCCAGCCATGGATTGTCATCGTTGAAACTGGCGACGTGGAAGCGTGTGGCATGGCGAGAATGAGGTTGAGGTCGGAGTTGGTCGGGCGAAGATGAGGTAAAGCACGCCCCGCAAAGCGCGACGAGGAGGAAAACTCGGCACCGACAAAGAAAAGTGGTCGTTATGGCGCCGGGCTGGGGCGTTGCCGGCGCGCAGCGGCGATAGTGCCGCCGGATGCCGACCGGCTTGCTGCTGTACTGCTCCCTTTCCCTTATTGTGGCTACACGGCATGAGAGTTGCACCCTCGCAACTTGTAATAAGTAATTGTCAAAAATGATTCTTTGTCTTGGTTCTCGTGTCTGCTTAGTGCTTGTGAACTTATCATTTTTTTTCAAAAAAAAAACTCGGGCATTTATTCAAGGTTGAAGACTATGTTATAAATTATTCATCAGCTTTTTGTTGCCAGCCATGGATCGTGTCATCGTGCGTGGCAAACTGGCAAGGGTCAAACAAGAGTGTGGAAGGGGAATCCGGTGGCTCATGCAGGGTTTCAGTTCACCTTTCTCTTTTCTTTTCATTCAAAGAACGAAGGAGGTCGGTCATAGGCTCATAGCTAGCCAAGTATGATTAGAAATTAGAATATGAAAACGGTGGGTGAAAAATTGCTGCATTGGGATTGTGGATCCACGGGTTTCCGAGTAAAATACTGAACAGGTATTTTTTGGATGAACAGATCCCAAATCTCGATGCGCGCCATGGTTCGAGGGCTTTAATTACCCATGTGCATTGGCATAAAACCTGCTGTGTAGGACACTCCATCTATCCTCCATCTATCCTTAATAAATATATTGTTAGAGTTGTCTTAACTTAAACTTTTTAAATATTAATTGAATTTTTAGAAAAACAAATATCAAGATTTATGGTATCAAATTAGTATAATTAGATATATCATATAATATATTTTCATAATATGTCCATTTTACATTGTACATGTTATTACTCTTTTCTATAAAGTTAGTTATATTTAAGAAAGTTTGATTGACATGGATTCTAGGAATTGATTTATTTAGGGACCAAGGGAAAGTATTTCTCTTCTATTATTCTTCTTCATTTACCTCAAGGAACTGTGAGGCATCTGCCTTGCACGTGTCTTCTTGATTTGAAGAAAAGAGGTGTAGTGCATACCACTGCTGGAAACTAAAATGCTCCTGTCGGTTTGCCTTGAACCGACAAAAAAATTAATATTTTTCTATCGGGTCCCAAGAACCGATAGAAATAATGTGAAAACCGACAGAGTAAACTTATTTTTTATCGGTTTTTCTACCATCGACAGAAAAATAAGGTAGTTTTTTGTGTGTCCAGATTACACCGATAGAAAATTTAACTTCGACGAGGCGCAGGACTTCAATCATGTAGCTAACGTGGGCTTGGGCTGCGCTGGCCTTTCAGCCGGCAAAGGCATACTAGTTGTGCCCGCGAACACATAAATACTTTGCGCGCCGCCCCAACCCCTAAAGCTCCACCTGCCCGTTTCCTTTCGAGGGAATCCGGTGGCTCATTTATTTTTTTTCTTTTCATTCAAAGTGTTTTTCGGTCATAGGCTCATAGCTAGCCAAGAGAAGAAATTAGAAATTAATTTTCCAATTTTATTTTAGGATGTCAGATCCCAAATCTCGATTGGGCTATTTTCCCTGCTGGTTTTCCTCCAACCTGAAAAATATCAAGTTTCTTAACTTAATTTTACGGCACTGGACTAATTAGTATCATTAGATATATCATATAATATATTTTCATAATATGCATTTTACATTGATGTGCTAATAGAAAAATTTAATAAAGTTTGATTGACTTCTAGGAATTGCGGGGATAGACACCCCAGCTATTTTAGCTGGAAACTAAGGTAAATGATTTTTTTTCATCGGGTCCCAGAACCGAGAAAAATAATGTGAAAACCCCGATTTTTTTACCCCATGCCCCGATAGTTTAACTGACGACGCTGGACTTCAATCGGAGGCCCTGCGCTGGCCTTTCAGCCGACAAAGGCATACTAACACATAAATGCGTGAGAGAGGGCGCTTTATTTTTTGCGTCCATTTTACGTGGGACATGCGAGGAGGCTTTGGTAACGTGGGACATGCGAGGAGGGTTTTTTTCACACCACCGACCAGAAATTCGCCTGACCAAAGATTCAAACTCTGGTCACGGGGGACACCACCCGGAGGCTTGATTCAAGGGAAGGTATTATCGAATTGTAATGTTCACAAAAATATATGTCTATTTCATCATCCATGATAACCACATCATCCCCCGATTCATCACTAAGAGCCCCGAGGCATAAGGTACAAGCACATTATTTAGCATAACAGTCTGTATATTGACTATAATAAAAGGAAAATATTTCTGTTTCTTCTGCTTCAACACCGTGATACACTCGGGATGTTTACGATACCTAAACGGAGCTCTTGCTCTAACTTCTCGTGGTTCACCGCATAGTATTCCCGCTTCTATTAAATTCCAAATCTTGCTTGCAATTTCATCGGAACTAGGCAACTCTTTGTCAGTGATTTCATGCCTACCAGGCATGTACACTCTAGTGTATACACCCTTTAAGAAAACAAATCCTCCTCGTATCTATTCCAAATTATAACACCTATGTATTTAGATATGTACTATGTCTAAATATATAGTAAAATTAATGTATTTAGAAAAGTCAAAACGTCTTATAATTTAAAATGGATGAAATATTATTATGTTGAAATGCTACTTTTATATAAAATTGTCACGACAGATAATTTTGCCACTAAAATTTAGACCACTTTATGTTTTTAATGCTCCAACTAGTAGAAGGTTTAAATTGCTTTCTAAGGCCCCGTTTGGCTTACCTTAAATTCGGTTTGTTCGGCTTCTTTTTTCAGCTGTAACAATATTTTTCTCTCACAACATTTCAGCAAAACAGTGTTTTCAACCAATTTCAGCCAAGTTTCAACAAGCCGAACGGGGCCTAAAGTTTAGACCCTCTAGTAAAACTTTAGACTACACAAGCAAGCTAAAGTGGTCTAAAGTTTTAGACCTTAGTTTTTCGCGACCGGAGAATATAGCTCGTTTTTCATTAAGACGAAGAGAATTACACGACACAGCTATGAAAGAACCCTCATAGCACATATTACAAACCACTAACCTAGTGGTGAGTGACTTGAAATACAACTTATAGTAAGAACAAGGTAAAGAGGAAAAGAAGGAGCGACTGCCCACAACACCCGGAACATACGAACTGAGCCTGCAAAAAAAGATACAACAACGCAATGGTTGCCTACAAACAAGACAATGCCATGGTGGCAAAGTATCCACCCAAAGTAGCAACAGCGACAAAGCAACCACCAGCGAAGACAGGGCAACCAAGTATCCGCCAGGGATTCCGGTATTCCATCGATGGCCAAGCATCCGCCGGGAAAGAAGCGACGACGCCCACTGCGGCAAAGCATCCGCAGGGGAACGACCATGACACACTCGTCAGCAAAGCATATGACAAAGTGGAGGCCACCGACAATAGTGGCAAAGTATCCGCCAGAAGAACCAATGACGTCCAAGTATCCGTCATGAAGACAGCGATAGCGGCAAAGCATCCGCTATGAAAGCCAGATGACAACGACAAGGTCCATTGCTGCAGGAGAAACCATTGCAAGTAGATCATAGGTACATACAGGCACAGCGAGGCCGACGACATGGAAGGAGCCACTGATTTCGGCAACCACACGGGGGACGAGCCATGAGAGATTCTTCAACGATGCCTTCAGGAAGGGGATGATGCCCAAGGTTACCACCATGGACGCTATCGCCGCTGGCCTTACATCTTGTAAGGCGGGGCTTACGCCCAGAATCCAACGCAGTCGGCTCGGAAGCATGTGGTTCATCAACGTCACCTCCAAGGAGGTATGTGGTACCTGAGACGTCACCGTCGTCGTCCGGCCAAAACTGAGCTGAGCTTTCGCCCAGAACTCCACGTATCCAAGATCGCACCGACGAAGAGACCGGAACCGGCGCAAGGGCTCTAGCAACGACACACATGGCCACAATGTCGTAGGCATAGGCGGTGCCACCGCGCTGACTCGGCACTGCGCGGAACCAGCAACAACAGCCCTAGAAACGAGCACGGATCCAGGGCCAGGGGTCATCGTCGGCCCCAGCTAGGCCACCGGCAGCTCCAGCCAGCCAGGTCACAGCTGGCTCCAGCCATGCCGTCGTCGGCCTCGGCCCAAGGCAGGCAGCCTAGATCTGGCCCTGGTTGCCAGCACCCGTGCGGGCCTAGCTAGGCCACTAGCCGACCGCCTCCGACCAAGGCAGTTGTTGGTGCTGGCCGTCGGTCTCCAGCCCGGAACTGGCCATCCACCGCGTGTAGCCCACAACGAGGGCTTCTTCACTAGACAGGGGCGCGGGGAGGTGGAGGCGCCAGATCCGGTCCCGCCAGAGAAGAAGAGGGTAAGGGGTTGTGGTGGAGGAGGGAGGGGGAGCTATGGACGGCTCACTCTTTGTAGGGCCGCCGCTGCCGCACACCGAAGGACGACGACGGCGGCCGGAGGGGAGGCGAGAACCGGGAGCCTTGAGCACCGGCAAGGTCACCCCGAGTCGTCCATTGGAGGACGCTTGGGGGAAGGAGACGAAACATTTATTCTATCATTTTCTTTAGTCCTTAGTTTTAATCAACTAAACTTGTAGAACTTTCATAAAAAGAAAACTAAACTTGTAGAACTATGAATTCAAAAGCCCTGTGAATCGTCGATCAGACCCTCAGGACACGGAAAAGACATGTTTGCCTTTTCTCTCCCTTCCTTTCTCTCTCGCCCGTACGAGCTCTCATCCCGTCCCGGCCCGCCGCCGCACCTCCGGTCGACCTCCTGCGCTCATCCCGTGTCTTCCTCATCCGTTTCTTCCTCGCTGTCGACTACACAAGTTCGAGCTCCGAGCCTCCAACCATGGCCATGGCCGGCCATACAGAAGGGTAACCCTGCCCCCCCAGCTCCCGCTGCTGCTCGTCACTACCAGGGCCGGCTTCCCTGCGGCCCGACGCGCCCACGGCCGGCGCCCCCCGAGCCCAGCGCCCCTGCGGCCCGAGCCCCCGAGCTTGCCCGGTGCCTAAGTTCACCGACAGCGCGAGGGCACAATCTAATCATGACATGCATTTGATAAAGGGTTGTTAACTCATATACGTGCTCTGAATAAATGAAGCCAAACTGAATATATGGTGTATGGCGAATTGAACAGGCTATAGTCATCCTGCGCTCTTCGCCTTTTACGCTTACATACAAGTTCAAACATTCAGTACAGCATTATTAATGATACAAACATAGAATATACTCATTAATGCAGAGGCATTTCTATTTGCATTCGCAGGCCATCTACATGAAGAAGAGAACTTTCTTGCAGCACAGAAATATGTGGTTCTGGGATCTCCTTTTACACTTACAGGGTTCAAACATTCAGTACAACATTATTGATGATGCATACATAGCAATATACTCACTAATGCAGAGGCATTTCTATTTGCATTCGCAGGCCATCTACATGAAGAGAACTTTCTTGCAGCACAGAAATATGTGGTTCTGGGATCTCCTCCTAACTTGGATTCCACATGTCAGGACAATTGCAATTGCGAATCCAACGCCAAATCCCTGTCCGGTAAAAAGGAACAATACAAGGTCTACTGATTTCTTCTCTGAATGGTGTACCTCCACATATGGTGTTGTGTTGGTGCATGCTTTGGACACCTGAAACCCACACAGGCCGATGTTGCCCAGGAACGAGAGGTTGGTAAATGTCAAGAAATGAGGTGAATCGGGTATTCTCCCCACCAGCTCGTTGTAGGACAGGTTCAACATTGAGAGGAAGTTCAGTGATGCCAATCCCTGTGGAATCTCCCCCGACAGATTATTTGAAGAGAGATCCAATGGCTCCAGTTGCTTCAGAGCACCAAATTAAACTGAGGTGGGATTGGGCCAGTGAAGGCATTGTGTGACATGTTTACACCATTTAGTAGACCAAGATCACCAATTGACTTTGGGATTGCACCATGAAATGCATTATCCGAAACATCAATGCGTACAAGGGTGCTCAAAGTTGTGGAAATTGTGACTTCTTCATTCCCTCTGTATGTGATTGCGTCGGTAAACTGATATGTTTGCCCAAGTTGACTCACATGATTATCTAGACTCTCATTGACAGATATGCTTACCATGGATTTCATGGTCATAAACCACTCATCTTGTAAAGTGCCAGGGAATTTGTTTGAAGCCAAGTCAAGAATTCGGAGTTTTATAAACTCACAATTGTTCTTTTCTCCTGCAGTAGAAGGCCCCACCTCCCCTACAAACTTGTTGTCCTTCAAAACAAGCACTTGAAGTTCAGGAAGCATACTCAGCCAACATGGAAAGATATCATTGATATGATTATTCCCAATGTCAAAAACCTCCAAGCCTCCGCAAGAAACTAGGGATCTTGGTAATTTTCCTTTGATCTGATTGTAATTAAGATCTAATGCCTCAAATGAACAATTTTGATTCATATTATTTGGTAATTCTCCATGTAAGCGATTTCTTCTCAGCTTTAATAAAGTCACACTAGTACCCTCCATTAAACATGATGGAATGGAGCCACTAAGATTGTTGTAGGAGAGATCAATAACGTCCATAGTCCATGCTCCACATATCGATGGTGGGATTTTTCCAGAGAGGTTGTTTGCATAGGCATCAAAATAGTTGAAATATACGAAGTGAGACCCGAAATTAAGTGGGATGGATGAGAACTCATTGTTCGAGCAATCAAGCACCTCAGTAGAGGGTCCTGGTATAGGTATGGGTCCTTGAAATAGGTTAAAACTAAGGACAATAACGCCTATATCAATTGGACTAATAGAGTCATATCCTGTGCTGTTGAATTTGTTGTGCGATAAGTCCAGAACTACCAAGCTTTTCCAAGTTTCCCATGCCCAGTGAGGTATTGTGCCATGGATTTGATTGTTTGAAAGATCAAGATATTGAACAGAATGCAAATGCCTCAAGACACTAGGGAGCTTGGATATGTTACATATTGAACAGAATGCAAATGAGCTTGGATATGTTACATGCTGCTAGGCGCAAAACATGCAATCAATTGGTGACTGAAGAATTGCCATCGTCGTCTACTACTACAGTAATTTGTTGTTTGACAGGCTCAAACCAAACAGTTGGGGTATTTTCAAGAATGAGCTGAGTTCCACTATACCATGGAAGTTGTTTGAATCAAGATACAGGAGTTCCAGCTGAGTTAGGTTAAACATTTGTGGAGGTAGTGTGCCAGAAAAATCGGAATTGTGTAATTGTAAACTATATAGGTTCTTGAGATTACCTATGGAAGAAGGTACTTCTCCAGATAAGCTGCAGTCCGAGAATTGGAGCTCTATTAAAGCAGTTAAGTTTGCAATCCAAGATGGTATTGCCCCTACCATACCAGTCCCAGATACCTGTAACGAGCTTAATGATCTTAGCTCACCGATTGACGATGGAAGCTCCTGGGAAAAATAAGTTGATGCAATACCCAAGTTGTTCAAGGATCTGAGATTGCTTATGGAACTCGGAACAGGACCAGAGAAGTTAGTTCCAGTGACAAGCAGATCCACGATAATACTGTCTGATGAGAAATTTGGCAATGACCCGGATAACTTGAAATTATACCTGACATCAATAGCTGTTAATTTTTTGTTTTGGAAGATCCTTGAGGGGAGCCATCCATCAAGAAAGTTATAGGTAAGTCTAAGAACACTAAGCGAAGGTAAATCAGCAAAGGACTCCGGAATTCGCCCATATAACTCATTATACTGTAGGTTGACCTCAGTGAGTGATGTTATAGTGGACACTGATCCACAGATGGGACTTTTGAGGCCGGTATATGGTAAGCTAAGAACCTGGAGTTGAGAGGTGGTGGAATTAGAAAAGGCACTACACCAGCTTGCCCCATTGTCGGACAAATCGACTCTGCCTAGGTAAAGCTCTTGGAGATGACTAAGATTAGCAACGAATGATGAGATGTTTGGCTCTACAACAAGGAGCTCGTCCCACCATCCCGCAACTGTATAATATTCACTGTATTCATCAATAAGGTCGATCTTGGTTGAGAGGTCAAAGAAGACCAATTTGGTGAGCTGTCGTATCCCATCTGGTATCTGGCCTGCAAATCCACAGTTGGAGAGGTTGAGATGAACGAGCTCGACGAGTCGTTCAAACCCAACGGCAGGGATTTGTGACTCGTTGAAGCTGTTCCAGGAAGGGTCCAGATGCCTCCTCAGGGATGTTAGGTCGAAAAGTGCGGGGTGCAGGAGGCCACTCTGTAACCCGCAATGACCCAGGTCGAGGGTGGTCACGCGGCCGTCGGCATGGCCGCCGCAGCAAACACCCTCCCAGCCACAGCAGTCCGTGCCCGCCCGCCACGATGCAAGGGCGGTGCACACGTCCTCCCTATCAAAGAGACCCCAGCCGTCGGTGGAGAAGGAACTCTTCAGCCGGAGCAACGCCGACGCCTGGTCCGGCCGGCAAAGAACTGGTGGTGGTGGTAGCGGATCCTATCGGTATTTGGACGGCCGCAAGGTCTCAGTCGGCCGACAAGGTCCTCGAGGAAGCTGGTTCGTACGGCAAAGTGGGCCATATCGGGCCTCGCGGGTGCCGGCTATCCGCTCCGAGGAATACGTGGCATGGGACCTGTCGGTCTTCCAGAGGCCGATATGGTACCTATCGGCATTCCAGTGGCCGATACTATTCTATATCTGCAATTTTTAAAAATATTATTCTAAAAAAAAACTCTTCCGAGGAATACGTGAACGAGAAACACAAACACTAGTAGCAGCTGTGGCGGTGGTGGTTTGCGGTGGTGGCCGGAGGTGGACGACATGCTGGAATTGAGAGCTTTTGTAATCCTTTTTACGTTGAAATTGGACATGTTCCCCACGTTCCACCACACCACACTATATATATATATCCTCGTATATATAGTCGTATTCGTATCGTATATAAAGACAGACATGCAGAGTCTGAGACGGTACAGCATACCCTGCAGGCTGCTGCTGCGACGACCGACGATAGCGTGAGTGCGTGAGCAAGACCGAGACCAAGATACCTCGACGTGGCCTTGGGGGAGTGGGAGTGGGAGTCAAGTCAATCGCGGTTGATACTGCATCACGGGCCGTTCGCATGGGCCATGCATGGCAAAGCTGATATGCCCAAAATAAATGGTGACTGCGAAACCAGGAGGAATTTAAAAACGATCCATCAGCATTCAGCAGTAACAATCTCACTTTATTTGTCCTAGTACAAAAATGTTGCTGTGTACACAGTACAGGAGACCCAACGGGAAGTTACGTAGATGAGGACCGATAAACAACGGTCCTGCTGCTACGTATAGCCATCTCCATCTTCTCCAGCCCCCTGAGGAATTTCGCAGGAGTTGTATAAGAAATTTCATAGGAAAAAAATAGAAAACATGAAATTTTCCTACGATCCAAAGGAGCGTCCATTTTGTAGGTACACTGGGAGTCTAACTATGGTTGAGCCCTCGTGCTGACTACTAACTAGTTAGAGGGATTTTTCAAAGTAGAAAAGGGCTCTAATTGCGCGAGTACTTGAGGGTATGCGACTGTTCTAGATTTCGCGCCAACCATCTGTCAGTAATTTCCAAGAGGTTTCTCCTAAACTCTAATCAATAGCACTAGTTCATTAACCTATGCTCCTGGGTTAGAATAGTAGAAGACATATTATATGAGCATTAAATGTTAATACTCCCTCGGTTCTATTTATAAGCCATAGATTGTTATGGCATAGTCACCTAATTTATACTTTGACCATTCATTTGTGTTGTATTATGTTTTTTATTATTATAAACTTATGATTATTGATCAGATGATGTATTTTTATACAAATCTAATCATATCAAGTTTGTATTGCATTAGTTAGTTGTCCAAAATACATTCTAAGATTATAAAATTTGAATTTTAATATGTGTGCACGCCGTATAAACTGGACTGGAAGGAGTATTGTATCTACCACTATTTGTTTTTTTCCTCTATTTGTTCATTTAGTACCATGCCACAAAAGCTCACACTTAACTAGTAACTTCCCATTCTAAGTTGTAAGTTTTTCTAGTCTAGTTTCAAAGTCAAACTTCTCTAGGTTTCAACTAAGTTTTTTTTAAATGCACAGATATCCACAACATCAAACAATATCTATTACCCCTAAGGGTTGGCTCTGCCTCAGCCGACCCCTGAGGGTTGGCTCTGCCTCGCCCGACGTCTGAGGGCTAGCTCTGCCTCGACCGACCCCTGAGGGTTGGCTCCGCCTCGCCCGATCCCTCGAACATGGATCACAACGGAAGCTCACAACAACCACTACGGTCCAGAAAGTACAACCCAAGGTTAAAGTTCTGGCATCGTGCAGGGAGCGGTCACGTCTCAACACGACCCGTCCCCACGACATGTCATTCCAGGGAACTCACATCACCCACAGTGACGGACGCGTGGTCACTATGCTGCCCACTCCCTGTACGGCCACTGACCAGCATTCTAGTTCGCCGCACCGCCCGCCGGGGAGGAGTGTGACGTTACGACCCGTTGACAATGCTAGGGCATGGCATCATCGGCGGATAGGCGCCCGGCGTGGAGCTGTCCCTATCACCACCTGCCATATCAGCGGGGCCCGCACGGAGGGAAAGAAAGGCCCGGTGACCCTAAAGGACTTTTCTCTTCCTCTCTTTCTCCTCCTTCCCCTCCACTGTAACCCCTGCTTTCCCTTGGCCTATAAAAGGGAAAGCAGGGCGTCACACTAAGGGGGATCGGTTCATCGAACAAGCGCATCAGACATCGCACCTCACAACACACACCATCAGAGACTTGGGACATGTCCCTCTCTCGCCCGTTTGTAACCCCTACTACGAATTTTTCAGTGCTAGTAACACGAGCAGCAGCAACGAACTGGACGTAGGGACATTCAGCTCGAACCAGTATAAACCTTGTGTCCTCTTAGTACACCATCCGGGCTAGACGCGCAATAATACAAATTTACTCGTTGGTGTTTACTCGAAACACCGACAGGGGGTGGTTCGCCTCATGTTGTCGTTGCCGAGCCACATCCCTTGACGCAGCAGCTCCGACTTCACGCTGCAAGTCCTCCCTCCACACGTAGACCGGGTGTCAAGAAGCTAAGAGCATCAACCGATGGCGACGTCGTGGTTGAGACGAGATCCAATCAGTGACGCCTTCAAGAAGGGCATGATGTCGAGAACGCCATCGTCGCTCGTCCAAGATGGACCGGGTTTTCACCCGTGGAAGGCAGTGCTGCGGAACACGACGCCCTCAGCAGGGGATGCGGCGCCGACAGACGTCACCGTCGTCAAGGCTTTCGCCCAAAGGGTTCCCCAGCACAAACGTCCGACCAAGACCCGGACCCTATCATGTTGTCGCCACCGTTGTCACTACCCCGCCATCCCAACGAAACCCTTCCAGGGCGGCATCGACGCGTCGGCTGCACGCAATAGCCGCATAGCTGCGTCGGCCGCCACCCCCTCTGGCCGGGCAACACGGGATCGGGCTTACCCTGCTGCGCGCGTCACACTGCCGCACACCGAAGCCGTTGCTGGACGACGTCGCCGGCTCTGGCACCCGCAGCCGATGCTGTCGGTCACCGCCGTCCGTTGTCGGTCGCGAGTGCCCCACCACTGTGGGCGCCGCCCCCAGCCCAAAGGGCGCCGGATCCAACCGCTAGGGCAGAGAACCCGGTGTCCCAAGCCGGCGCCGCCCCCAGCCATGGCGGCACCGGATCCGGCTTCCAGCGCACCGGATCTAGCTGCCCAGGCCCAAGAGCAGCCCAGAACGTCGCCGCCGACACTGCCATACAAGGAGGAAGGGGATGGCGGAGGGGAAGAAGGAGATCCCGCCGCCGTTGCCACCGAAGCGCCGCTTAGGTTCGGCCGCCGCTGCCGTGAAGTCAGCATGCCAAAGCGGCACCCCTAGCCCCACGCGGCTCCGGCGAGGCCACGCTCAACCCGGCCCAGCTGCAACTGCATCTTCTTCTCTCCAAGGCACGAGGATGAGAGGGCCTGCCGCCGCCATCCCGGCGAGCCGTACGGCCCGAGAAAGGGACTCTGCAGCAGCAGCGGCTGTTTACAGAGATAGCACAAGAACTGGTGAGAGAGCCAAGTTGGTTTTGTAAGCCTGTCGTTGGGGAGGGTATGAACATACCCGGGCTTACCCATGGTCAAATTCATTTCTGAAATATTCATTCTATACCCTCTCCGTAATTACCCACCGATATCCATTGGATAACCTGATACATCTGAACCAGTAAACTACGGATACCGCCCCGCCACCCCCCAAACGGTCCACTAATAATGCCGGTCATATCTATCTCTACACCTAAAAAATATGAAGAGGACCCGTCTACTGGCCCGTGGTGAAGCCGCTACGCAGTTTACCTCCATGACTCCTATTTGCGCCGACATGTGGGCCATCCGCACGTCGCCCCACCTCGCCTCGCGCTCCCTCCGGTCCTCACCATCCGTCGCCGCCCACCTTGCCTCGCGCTTGGCCGTCACGCCGCCGCACCGCCACCACCTGGCCGCGCCTCGCGCTCCCCGCCCGCCCCCCTCTCCGCGTCTCGCCCGATCGCCCCTGCTCCAGTGCTCCGTCATGTCGTGCCGCCTGGCACACGCCCCTGGCCCCCCTCAATTCCCTATCCCGCTCGGCCGCTACGCCATGCCGCGCCGCCCCGCATAGCTTCCTTCGGCCAGCCCCGACGCTGCTGCCACAATCTGGGAGGGGGAGGCAAACTGCAGGCTGCAACCGGCCCGATCGGCGTCCATCCCGCCTGTCTTGCTCGCTGCAGCTCCAGAATGGGTTAGGAGCAGTCTCTTCCTTGCTGCTGGATCAATGGGGGTCACAAGACAGACAGAGAGGAAGTCGGGGACATACTCCTCAGCGCACCTACGGCGGGATCCATTATGTGCCCTCCCCTTCCCAGCCCTATCTTTGATTCAGCATCTTCAATGTCGTATATTGCTTAATTGTGCAGCTATAACTAGAATATAAAGTTTCTGAAATCTGACATATTAAGTTTCTGTGGCCCATATGGTTTGGCACAGATGTTCAGAGATTTTCTATTATTCCAATCATTTTAGGTTCCATATATAATTGTCTGTTTCCAATTTGTCTAGGCACCACTGGAAAGTGGAAGATGCTTCAGCAAGCAGTTCAATATCTTTTATCTTTGGTCCAAGAACTCAGGTACTGTATGTTCTCCCTTGTAGTTCAAGCAGATTTGTAGTTAACCAATTTGTCCGTGAGATTCATAAGCATCAGTATTTAATTTAGTGAGTAGTGTCATCTTGGGAATTATAAAGGGCACTTGTCATTTTTCCCTGCTATACTTCTGGGGAATAATGGTGGCAATACATAATGAAATTCAATTATTGCAACAGGTGGATTAGCACATGTGTAGTTGTGAGTTGTTCTAAATGAATTCCTTGCTGCATGGGTTTACATACTTCCTTTTGCCCTCTTCCCATATGTAGGTTGGTTTTCTCATGCAGTAATTTATTTTTCAGTTCTTGCTGCATCAATCAAAAGGCTTTTTAAGATCAAATGTATGCTTCCAATCAGGTGT